ATCGGGAGCACTCAGGACGAGGCGGCCACAGGTGACTCTCTCGGCTGCTGAAGTCGACGCTGCTGTTTCTTCAGCGTCACCCAGGAGCAGAGCAGTCACTTTTGGGCCCAGGTGCTGTCAGTTGTCTCCCGCGCACTGCGGCTGAGTAGGTCTGTGACAGCTAGGAGAGAGGGCTGCATGCAGTCATAGGAAGCATCCCTGGGAAGCTGGGAGAGAGGCTGTGAAGCAGCAGCAAGTGTCAGGGTTGCATGGAGAGTAGGGAAAGGAGCTGTGTGAAGTCGAGGCATCGTGAGGCCTGGGGAAGGAGCTGTGTGAGGTGACAGGGGCCACTGTTTGAAGACACCCATGACGGTGGCATTCCTGTGTTTGGGCCTTCTATAAACTCACCTCTGCTTTTCAGGGCCTGAAGTCGTCCCACCATTCTGTGGTGGGGGAGAAGTATATGGTCTTGGAAAACAATTAAATCCTGCCTGCCACATTCAAGTCAGGGGATTTTGAAGACAGTTCTTCACTCCTGTGGTCTGGATCTTTCTGGTCACAGTATGGGTATGGTAGGGTGTGGAGAGAGCCTGGCGCAGGGCATCTGGGCAGTCAGCGGCTGTTAACGAACATAGCCGTCTCACCAGCTTGGCCAGATGGTGGCCACTTTCTGGGCTCCAGCCTTGAATGTGGAGCTTGTTCTGGAACAATCAGGAAGTGCAGAACCTGCCTGGTTCTTCTGGTTTTGTTTAGAGTATGGCAGATAATTTATAAGAAACTGCATCTGACATTGCCTCTCAAATAAGCCCAGAGAGGAAGGAGTCAGATCCTGGCGTTTCTAATTGGATATTGTTAGTCTTCTGATTATAGAAATTAAGGAACAACACAGACAAGAAACACAGCAGTTATTGTTTTGAATGAATGTGTAACTCAAAATTTGTTTTCCATCAGTGATTTTTGCTTTGCTGTCCAGGGCCTGCCACAAACTTCTGGTCTCATTCACGTCTCCCTTTGCAGATGAGCTGGCCAGTCCTAAATAGTTAAGTCTCCTTTCAGAGCCAGGCCATTCCTGAAACCCAATATAATCTCCATGAGTTCAAGCTGGGAGGCCTTGCCAGGATATAACAGCATTTCTGCCAGCTGTGCTGGGTTTGTGCCTGGTGCAGCCCTTGATGCTTATGTGAGCCTCACTCTCCTCCCCTGTAAAATGGGGACAATGGGTAAGTGACCGCACTAGTCTCTGGCTCAGAACTCTGGTATGAGGACCAACGAGTTAACATGAGTCCCTCAGACAGCCCAAGGCACAGAGGGAATACGGAGTGATGTTTAGTTTCCACTCCTTAGCTTTTCTTCCTTTAAATTGGCTGAGCCAGAAATTATAGGGGTGAAAGCTCTTTCCTGCCTTGGCGCTGTTGTTGTGGAGAGAAAACCACAATCCCCCAAGGGGCTGAGCAGCTGGTGGCCCTGGAGACAGGCAGCCTGGGACTCAGCCCACAGGGGCAGGGACAGTTTGACTTCCCGATGCCCCACAGATCAGGTCTGGAGAGGGTCTCTCTGCGCCTGGTGGCTCTGTGGTTGGCCCACTCCCATTCCGTGCTCCCTGCCTGGGGTCTGGTTTTGGGGAACAAGGGCAGCAGAGCCCCACAGTCACCATGACGAGTGACGATGGTGACATGTGGCTTTAATCTGACTCTTGGAAGTCAACTCATGTGTCCCTTCTCACACTGCCAGTTACTTAACTGAACCTGAGGAAAACAGCACAGGATCTCCACATTCCGGATTCTCTGCCAGCCCAGTCAGGGCAATGATGAGTCAGTGATCAGTGGTAACGAGCGGAGGGGTCAGAAGGGGACAACGGTCAGGAACCAAGGTTTGGCAGAGCTTTAGAAATGACCCCGATGTCAGATTCAGAGCTGACTTTTTTACTAAACACACATGATGCCGTGCCACTGGACTCACACACACAACACACACATGTTCTAACACAGGACACACAAATATACACACACAGGACTTACACACTTAGGTACACATACGGTCATATGACACATCTACACACTTGTGCACACATAGAACACAAAATAAGAATTAAGAAAATAAAATGAAAGGCCCAGCTCCTATGGCACCTCCATCCTCCTCCAGGGACTGCGTCTCTGTTTTGGTCTCCTATATCCATCCTCCCGGCCCCTGCCTTCTCTGCTCACTCTCCCCAATGCTGTTGCCCAAACACTCTCTCCTACCCCTCTCATCTTTGGACAGAACCTCTGCCGGGCCCTGCCAGGTGGCCTGCTCCCAGCCCACGCTTGAGGGTTTAGGATAAAAAAAAAACAAAAACCTTCCTCTTATGCCTCTGCCTTGGGTATCCTGGTCATACAACATGCCCAGACCTGAGGGGTTGGTTTTTCAGACCCCAGAAAGATAAAGAGTTGTCTGGAAAGTGGGGGCATGTGTTACCTTTCTCAAGATGCAACTTGGAGGAGGAAGGGCCGATTTGACTCCCGGTTTGAGGAGGGAGTCAGTCCATCCTGGTAGAAAAACTCTGACAGCAGGAGTGTGAAGCACCTGGTCACGGGGCATCCACAGTCAGGAAGCTGAGAGAGGACAGGAAGTGGGGGTCAGCTATCAAATCTCAAGGTCCATTCTCAGTGACTCCCCTCCTCCATCAAGACTTCCTAAAGGGCCCACAACTTTCTGGAGAGCGACAGCTGCTGGGAACTAAGAGCTGAAACACAGAAACCTATCAAACTACAACAGGAGACGGCAGTGGTGACCCCAACACTCACAAGAAGGGTGCAGTGGTGACCCCAACACTCACGGGAAGGGTGCATCGGTGACTCCAACACTCACAGGAAGGGTGCAGCAGTGACCCCAACACTCAAAGACAGGGTGCAGCAGTGACCCTAACACTCAGACAGGGTGCAGCAGTGACCCCAACACTCACGGGAAGGGTGCAGTGGTGACCCCAACACTC